GTGTCCACCACGGTGTTTCAAGTTGTTTTGAATTCAGTGAGAGGGTTTGAAAGCACTGCTGCGCTAATGGCACGTGGGGAAATCTTTACAGAAGACAAAGTTGCCTTTCTGGTGATTATATCCTTTGAAGTGAATACTGTTGGCATGAAACAGAACTGTTAGAGAGTGGTGTCTTGCAGATTGTGGAGATACTGAAATTGTCTAAGGTTAGAAGTATTTTAATTTCATATTTTCTTATGTTCACTCAAATTTCTTATTTTCCAGACCCTTAGAAATAAGGGGTGTAACTCTCCCATTTCTTTTCTATTTTGAAGGGACTCTAAAATGAACACCAAAAACCAGGTGTTTACCTTTCTCAGTTTTATAGTAATTTTTCATTTTAACGTACACCTGCTATGGGAGAAGTCCCACTGCCATTTTATATTTGCAAGCCATTTGCCTTCTTTGCACGCCGATGATGTAATGGCTTTTTAACTATGGAGAATGTGAGGCAGCATAGGGATAAACTGGCAAGAACCCACAACACTGTGCTTGCGAGGAGCTGCCAAGCTGTTCCCTAGTAAACTTTGTGATCAACAACAAGGGAATTACTCGTTTTTGAAACACTTTATCAGGTGTGAAGTAATCAGTAAAGTTATTGACATCAGTCAAAGCAATCAGTGTGGCTGTGCTGATTTATCCCAACTGAAGGTCACTTTGTTTCTGGAATGTGCAAAAATAGGGCGATGACTAGTACTCCCCTCTGCTTTAGAAACTGTCTTTGTCTTAACTCTTGGTCTGGAAAGGATGTCACAGGGATAGGTTAGTTGCAGTGACTGTCTGCTGCAGTGCCATGGGCTTGCAGAACACATACAGTGGCATGGAAAGTGCCTTCAGGGCAAATGCCTCTGCTTGTCCCTGTTTCAACAAGGGTGTTTGGTGGCTAATGTGCTTGTCCTCAAGAGAAATGTAGTGACTATGCCTACTCTCAGGTATTTGGGAATGTTTTTTCTGCGTGCATCTCTAGCAGAGGTCTGGGCTATGAGCCAGTCAGCCCTGCATCATGGTGAGACAAACTGGGATCCAGCCTTCCCTCCTAGAGCTGGATTAGCACTGCCATTACCATTATCAGTGGTAATGACTTGTTTTGTCAGTAAAGGTATCAGAAATTACTAAGAAAATATAGTGAAATAGAGAATGAAATAAAATATTAGATATTTAGCTATGAAGGTGTGACTTTGCAAAATGTAAAACTGCTTAAAAGTCTCTGACCGAACTGTGGGCAATTGAGATAAAAAGCTTAGAGAATGGGGAAGGTTTTTTTTAGCACGTAGAGAGGGGTGGGGAACCTGACACTGCTTGAAGTGATAAAACTTTACGTAAATACTCTATAATGGTAAGAATAGGAGGTAAAACTAAGTGTCTATTTAGATAAAACAAACTGCAAAGGAGTGTATGCGTATTAACCTGCAACTGTTTGAAGTGATAAAACTTTACGTAACTACTCCATAATGGTAAGAATAGGAAGTAAAACTAGATGTCTATTTAGATAAGAAAGACTGCAAAAAGTGTGTGTGTAAAGATAATTTTGAGCTTGCTACTTTCAAACTGTATAAAAGGCTATGTTATTCCTTGGGCCGGGGAGTGCACTGGGGAGAACAACTACCCCTTTGCATTCCCCGGCCGTAATAAAGGTGCTTTTCAGATTGGCAGAAGTTTCTTTGAATCAATTTGGCACCCAGATGGGACAGATTTCTGCTCGCCAGTGAGGACCCTCCGGAACCGGGGACCCTCTGCGCGCCCCGGGACGTTACTCCGGTGAGGCTCCCCGGGCTCCGTTGGATCACCACGGGAGTAGAGGAAGACCCTGGGCACAGGTATACAAATTTTAAAGCACTCTTTTTTTTCCCTAGGGTTTTTGGGAAGGAAACCGTAAGTCGTACGCTGGTTTTTAGGGCTCTGAGCTTGCTAGCAGCTAACAAGAGCAACACCCTTTTAATAGTAGGTTCGAGTCCTACCGGGAGGATGCATATGGCTTTGATTGTGAGTTAGAGTCTCACCGAAGCTATACCAAAAGAGGAATTTTGGGCAGAGGGCTGCATCCTTCTGAATATGGGATAACAGTCCCATTAAAGGGTGGCATAGGTTTTGATTGTGACAAGATGTTTTTGGGTTTACCATTGTGGCTAGATTTGGGACTTGGTTTTGGAATTGCGATTATTATAAGTTTGGTAATATATTATATCTGGGTTTGTTTTAAACCCTCTGTCTGTGTTCCATGTGTTTGCTGAATTGTATTGTTTGCTCTTGTCTGTGAGTATTGTCTTTTATGTCATGAAATTACTGTTGTATGTTAAGTAAGCAAATATTAGGAAATTATATTTGTTTTCATATATGTTACTGGTTATCTCTTAATCACAGCAAAAGGACTACCTTCATGTGTTTACGGGAGATAGTGGTTTTGTGGTTTTATGGTTTTAGGCAGAACCCTAACACTCACTGTTTGCAGGAATTAAGCCAGGAAGTTTTGCTGGCCGCTTGCAGATGCCACAAACTCCAGGGCTGACAACCTCTGGGGGTGCAAACCCATATCTTTGCTCAATTTGTGGAATTATTCACCTCATACTTATGATTTGTGTTGAATGTTGGCAATTTTAGCGTATTGGGGGCAAGAGTGGCATTGGGAGATCTTGGCGTTGGAATGATTGGGTTTAGATATGATTTTGTGCGGTATCTAGGAGAGAGTGACAAAGTCTACAGGAGGAGTGAGGCAAAGGAGGAATAAAAGGAGGTTCTTTTCTCATTGATGCTTAGATTGTGAGATTGTTGCCTTGTGCCAGGGGAGTGGAGCGTGGCTGTTTTACAGGCGCCTAGGAAAGGGGTTTCTTGTTGCCAGACTGAGGCTTGCTGCCAGACAAGGGATACTTGGGCGAGTTAACAGGGCTGACTCAGAACTTTCCTGCCTCGGGGCTGGTGCTGTGTGTGTGTATGGTGTGTTGAAAGTGTATAACTGAAGTTTGTAGATAACCACAAGTTTGCGCCTTTGTTATCGTGCAAAGGGCAAGACTAGAAGCAGGCCAAAGCAAAAGCTAAAAATGGGGAACCAGCAAGGGAAACAAGAGATTGATAAAAGCCCATTAGGATGTGTTTTAACACACTGGAAAGAAATTGGGGAATCTCAGGGTGGGATTACTAACAAGAAAACTTTAATCAAATATTGTTCAGAATGGTGGCCCCTCTATAAACTAGAGGAAGGAGCAAAGTGGCCAAAGCATGGATCATTAGACTATAATACTTTACTACAGTTAATGTTGTTTTTACGGAGGCATGGAAGGTGGAACGAGGTCCTTTATGCTGACATGTTCTTTTGCTTAAGGGAACACCCAGAATGGCAGAGAGAGTGTGGCATTAATCTAGCCCCACGAGACCCGTTTGTTTTAACACTGGAAAAGGAGAATTTAAAACAAGGTATAGGAGAGCTCAGAAGGTGTTGTTCAGCCTGTTCAATAGGACAGAGGTGTTTGAAATATACCAACAGGGAATTGGAAAGTGGAATTGAGGATTATGTAAGTCCCTTTGGAGAAAGGGCAAATGAAATAGCCGAAGGAGGGGCTTCTGCTCCCCCCTCAGGACCAAACAGTGAATCGTCCGCATCTTCAAGACAGCAAGGGAGGGGTAGGGACAAAGAAAGGGGAAGAAGGGAAACTTCCCACTCCCCATCATCCTTATCTCCCCTGAGCAGGCGGACACGCAGTAAAATGAGAGCAAAATCTATCTCCCCACACACAGAGACCAGGCGGACTATACAAGCCCCTTTAAGAGAGGCTGCAGGACCGCGGGGCCCTATGAAACTTAAAGTTAATTTCTCTATGGGAGACTTAGAAAATTGGAAGAATATTGCTCGTAAATATAGAGACGACCCAGTTGGGGTAGCAAAGAAATTTAAAGCATATGTTAAAGCTCTAGATCCAGACTGGGAAGACGTAGATCTCATGTTGGATGCTTTGACAGAAACTGAAAAAGAGTTAGTCTTAAAAGCAGCAAGGACCTATGCACAAACCAAGTTAGCAGCTGGAGATGATTTGAATTTCTATTTCCCACGAGATAAACCAGGCTGGGACTATAACGACCCGGACCATTATCAAATTCTCCAGAGATACCGGGGTTGGGTGGCTTACGGAATAGAAAATGCAGTTCCCAAAGCAGTAAACTGGGGTTCTCTTTATGCAGTAAAACAAAACACTGGGGAAACCCCTACTGAATTTATAGATCGATTAAAGGAAGCAATGCGAACTTACACCACCTTAGACCCATCAGGGGACCAGGGCCAACAGCAGTTAATTTCACTGTTTTTGGGTCAATCTTCAGATGACATCAGACGCAAACTACAAAAATTAAAAGCCGAAGATCAGAGAAATATCGAAAAATTAATTGAAGAGGCGTGGCGGGTATACAGGAACCGGGAAGGGGTAGAAAGACAGAAATTAGGTAAAGCTATCACAAAGGCAACCATTGCCGCCCTGGGTAGAAGAGAACATCACTCTAAGAGACCTGGATGGCACCCTGGAAGTGGTAACCAGCAGAAATTGAGACCAAACCAATGTGCAATTTGTAAAGAAGAAGGACACTGGAAAAGAGAATGCCCTCAAAGGGAGCAAAAACCTATTTTAATGGCAGAATTGGACCAAGATTAAAGGGGACCGAGGGGTTTTGCCCCCAGGGATCCCTTGGTTATAATGGAACTGGGGAAAAATAAACATAAAATAGAATTTTTAGTAGACACTGGAGCAACATTTTCTGTGTTAAATCAGGAATTAAACCTCATGGATGATGTATCTTTGAATGTGATGGGAGCCACTGGTCAAGTTGAAAAAGTATCTTTTATGAAACCACTAAATTTTAAATTAGGTAAGACTTTAGGTATACATAAATTCCTATATATGCCTCATGCACCTAAATCACTTTTGGGAAGGGATCTATTAGAAAAACTAAATGCAGAAATTAGGTTCAACAATGGAGATATGCAACTTAAAGTAAAAGAAAATGAATTAATCGAAATTTTAAGTCTTGCTCTAATCCAGCCACAGATATCGGGAGAAGTACCACCAGCAATCTATGACCAAATCTACCCGGGGGTCTGGGCTGACGGGACCCCAGGAAGGGCCAGACATGCTCAACCTGTAACAGTAAGATTAAAACCTGGGACACGGCCGGTAAGAATTAAACAATATCCTCTCAAACTAGAAGATAGAAAAGGGATTAAAGAAATAATTGACAATTTTATCAAATTTGGTTTACTAATTGAATGTAAATCAGAATTTAACACACCTATTTTGCCAATCCGTAAACAAGATGGCAAAAGCTATCGGTTGGTTCAGGACCTCAGAGCTATTAATAAAATTGTTGAAGACCTCCACCCAGTGGTAGCTAACCCATATACACTTTTAACTAAACTAAAAAATGAATATATCTGGTTTTCTGTTTTAGATTTAAAAGATGCCTTTTTCTGCTTGCCTTTGGACCCTAAAAGTCAAAAATTTTTTGCCTTTGAATGGGAAAACCCGGAAACAGGAAGACGATCACAGCTCACATGGACTGTTCTTCCACAAGGATTTAAAAACAGTCCAACCCTTTTTGGAGACCAGCTTGCCAAAGATCTTGAAGAATGGACGGCACCTTCAGACAGCGGAGTCCTCTTGCAGTATGTGGATGATTTATTAATTGCAACCAGCACACAGGAAGAATGTGAAAATTGGACTGTGAGCTTATTGAACTTTCTAGGGCTGAAAGGATATAAGGTATCTAAAAACAAAGCCCAGATTGTCAAGAAAGAAGTTACTTATCTAGGATATGAAATCTCAGGAGGACAACGTCGACTTGGGCCAGAAAGAAAAGAAGCCATCTGTAAAATACCTTTGCCACAAACTTCAAAAGAACTTCGCACATTTTTGGGAATGACTGGCTGGTGTAGGCTTTGGATCTACAAATATGGACTAATAGTCAAACCCCTATACCAGATCCTACAAGATGGAAATCAACAATTAACATGGACCGGAGAAGCTACACAAGCCTTCCATCAGCTTAAGAAGGAACTGATGCAGGCACCTGCACTGGGCCTCCCAGATGTAACTAAACCTTTTTTGCTCTTTTCGCATGAAAGGCAGGGAATTGCACTGGGGGTCCTGGCCCAGCAGGTCGGACAATATCGCCGAGCAGTGGCATACTTCTCTAAACAGTTAGATGAAGTGAGCAAAGGATGGCCAGGATGTCTGAGGGCCGTAGCTGCAGTAGTACTGAACATACAAGAAGCCCGAAAGTTCACAATGGGACAGAGAATGACTGTTCTAGTGTCACACGTGGTTTCAGCAGTGCTCGAACAGAAAGGCGGTCACTGGCTCTCGCCCTCCAGGTTTCTCAAATACCAGGCCACTCTAGTAGAACAAGATGATGTTGAAATCGTCACCACTAATATCGTAAATCCAGCAACATTTTTATCAAGTTCTACAACCACAGAGGAATCGGTGTATCATGATTGTATTGAAACAATTGAAGCGACATATTCCTGCCGACCGGACTTGAAAGATACACCACTGCCCGAGGCAGAAATGTGGTTCACCGACGGAAGCAGCTATATGAAAGATGGAATCCGCAAAGCTGGTTATGCCATAACAACCACAGATCACGTCATTGAAGCACAAGCACTCCCTGCTGGCACCTCTGCACAAAAAGCAGAAATAATAGCCCTTACCAGAGCATTACAACTAAGAGAAGGAAAGGACATTAATATTTGGACAGACTCAAAGTATGCCTTCGGGGTAGTTCATGCTCATGGAGCAGTGTGGAAAGAAAGAGGGTTACTCACATCACAAGGAAAACAAATAAAGCACGCAGAAGAAATCTTAAAATTACTTGAAGCTGTCCAGTTACCGAAAAAGCTTGCTATTATGCATTGTAGAGGACATCAAAAAGGGAATACAAACCAAGAAAAAGGCAATCGATTGGCGGATCGAGAGGCGAAAAAGGCAGCAGAAAACGGCCAGGTAGAACTTGCCTCCCTAATTCCTGATGGCAAAATTATAGAGGTAAGCTCTAATGTATCATATTCAAAGGAGGATTTAAAATTAATAAAAGATCAGCAAGCTCAACGCAAAGGTAACGTGTACTACTTAGAAACAGGACAAATAGTGGTACCTGAAAGAGTACTATGGAAAGTTGTACAAGCAGAACATAACAAAACTCATTGGGGGGCAGATGCATTACACAAATATCTAAGGAGACAAATTATAGGACGAAATTTATACACTACAATAATCCAGGTTACTAAACAATGCAAGACCTGCCTTCAAAATAATCCTCACACAACCAATAAAATCGAGATAGGGACAATTGGCAAAGGTAATCTCCCAGGGCAACACTGGCAGATAGATTTCTCTGAGTTGCCTAGGAAGGGAGGTTACAGATACCTGTTGGTTTTGACAGATACTTTCTCAAATTGGCCAGAGGCTTTCCCGACTCGAAGCAATAAGGCTCGAGAAGTTGTCAAGGTACTACTTAATGAAATTATCCCCAGGTTTGGAGTACCTGACATCATCTCCTCGGACAGAGGACCACATTTTGTAGCTAAAATAATACAAAGAATTAGCAGCATCCTGCAAATTAATTGGCAATTACACACTCCATATCGACCACAAGCAAGTGGTCAAGTGGAGAAAATGAATCATTTGATAAAACAACAATTGGCAAAAATCTGTCAAGAAGTAAACCTACATTGGTACCAAGCATTACCTCTGGCCTTATTGCGAATAAGGGTCAAACCTAAAACTAAAGAAGGGCTGAGCCCTTTTGAAATGTTATATGGAAGACCCTATGGGAATTATTATCAAGGAGAAGATCTCATACAAGTAGGAGAAGGATATGTACGAGAATACTTGATCTCATTAAGTAAACAATTGTCAAAAATCAACAAACAAGTGATGAGTACTCGCTCAAGAGGAATAGATCAGCCTTTACATAACATTTCCCCTGGGGAATGGGTGTATGTTAAAACTTTTTCAGGCCAACCATTAGAGGAGAAATGGAAAGGACCATACCAGGTGCTTCTGACGACCTACACAGCAATCAAAATTAAGGAACAACCCACCTGGATTCATTATTCACGAGTAAAGAAGGCACCTCGAGAAACATGGACGTCAGAACTTGTAGGACCAACCACCCTCAGGTTTACTCGACACTAGCCGCTGGAGCTCTGATAAGTATACTAACTCTGGCTCAGGCCACTACCTTAGACTGGCCATGGTCTAGGGCTCACATTGGATATACTGGTATGTCCGGAAAAGACATTTCCAATTTAAACCTAGCCACTGTGGTCATGCACAAAAATAGACCATGCTCTGATTGGGAAAAAAGAAACGGGCTTAGTACCTTAACGGGAATAAGTGGAAAAACCCAGATAGGATGTAGAGGAATTAACATACCTGACGATGAGAAACAAATCTCCCAAACACAGATCACTGTAAGAGAACCTATAGAAGGAAACCTGATTGGTAAGTCCATCTGTAGGTCCGATCAATGTTGGCACAACTTTACCATAGATACACCAGTTTCTGTAACATGTCTTTGGGCTACTCTGAAAGGAGACAAAGCACTATCAAGAAAATTTATAATAGACACCACCACAACAACATCACAGACTTCTGCTCCTTTACCAGATATGCCCTCAGTATGTACAAAAAGAAATCACAATATTTCCCTTGTAGGACCTTATGTAATTAGGCAATCTAATGAGCAGAAGTTACTCTTAGACCCTACGTATTCTCTGAAAAAAGTCCAAGTAAAAATACAAACAAACATATCCTCTATAAAAGAGGATTGCCAACCCTTCATTCTCCAAAGTCTTAAAGGATGGAATGCTTGGTTAAAAACTAGATCCCATCACGAAAGAGCCCAGAGGGATCTAATGGGGTGGTTTGGATCAGGATTAGGAGTATTAAATTCAATAGATCAAGAAATGTTAATTAATAAGCTCAGCACTGTAACCTCTGATTTGGGAAAACTGGAAGTACCACTCAGATCATCATTAATGACTATAGCTGAAACAGAATCTCTTACTACAGATTTGATGATCTTGTTAACTGAACACACATCTAAAGACTTTCAGGTTGTGACTAATGTCTTTGAAAAATTACAAGAAGATGTCTCAGTAGCAATACAGTGTATCCAAACTCAGCAATGGATACAATCTGTATCAGCAGGAATTATAAGAGAAGGAACCTCAGGAATTTTACCTCAAGAGATAAGAGAGATCATATCCAGACAAGACACCACAAGTAAATTTGAAAAAGAACATCAGGCATGGTGGCAGTTAGTAAACTTCACATATAACACAGAGCAGGAACAAATAGAGGCATATGTTCTTACCATCCGTGAGGCAAAAGAACAGACCATATTTCCTGTCTTGGCATTAGGAGCAATACACCGAGACATTGTAGTTAGACCTATAGGGCATAATGTCTGGGCAAGTTATGACAAGGACACGGGGAGGTGGCAAACTGTCAACACAAAGGCCTGTATACCTAGGGAACAACTAGGATATGTGTGTGAAAATGCTGTAATAGAGAAGGAGGATTTATGTTTAGATACAGAAGACAGTGTATGTACGTTTGAAATGTTCCCAAATACACAAGCACAGTCCCAAGTGTATTATGTAGGTAAAGGATGTGCCTGCATCAAGACACCTTGCACAAGTATAATAATTGATAATTGTAAAGAACTAACTAATGGTACTAACTTCTGTGTTTGCAATTTTACTAAAATAATAGGATGTGACTTTAAATACACTGCTCCTGTGACCACCATGCAATTGATCTCGGATAGATATATGTTATATCATGAAGTGCCTGAACTACAAATAGGTATGGACATTAATATCCTCCAGAAAATGCTTTATCATCCGGATATTGAACAAATAATGGAAAAAGTAAATGCTACTTCACGTCGCATGCTGTGGCAAGTGAAACACGATACAACAGAGATAAAACACATCATTACAGAAATAACAAAAACTGGAGAACATCATTGGTGGAGCATGTTTTTGGGATTAACCAATAGACATTCACCCACGGCAGCTCAGCTATTTAACTTCCTGATTCACCCGATCTTGGTTTTGATGCTGGCAGCTCTCCTCCTGACAATCGTCAATCTATGGATGTGGTGGAAAATAAGAACTATAGCACAACAAGTACATGTGCTCTGGACTGTACAAAAAGTGATGCAAAAGAATTTGCATTAGTTAAAAGAAAAGGGGGGAATTGAAATAGAGAATGAAATAAAATATTAGATATTTAGCTATGAAGGTGTGACTTTGCAAAATGTAAAACTGCTTAAAAGTCTCTGACCGAACTGTGGGCAATTGAGATAAAAAGCTTAGAGAATGGGGAAGGTTTTTTTTAGCACGTAGAGAGGGGTGGGGAACCTGACACTGCTTGAAGTGATAAAACTTTACGTAAATACTCTATAATGGTAAGAATAGGAGGTAAAACTAAGTGTCTATTTAGATAAAACAAACTGCAAAGGAGTGTATGCGTATTAACCTGCAACTGTTTGAAGTGATAAAACTTTACGTAACTACTCCATAATGGTAAGAATAGGAAGTAAAACTAGATGTCTATTTAGATAAGAAAGACTGCAAAAAGTGTGTGTGTAAAGATAATTTTGAGCTTGCTACTTTCAAACTGTATAAAAGGCTATGTTATTCCTTGGGCCGGGGAGTGCACTGGGGAGAACAACTACCCCTTTGCATTCCCCGGCCGTAATAAAGGTGCTTTTCAGATTGGCAGAAGTTTCTTTGAATCAATAGAAGAAGCAGCTCTTTTGAGTAAGAAGGTATTATTTTTACGGAGTTGCTTTTCTGATTATAACAGCACTTAAATGCTGGATGTTAAAGTCCAACAGCTGTGGTAAGGCTGAATTCAGTCCCAGAAACAGCATTGCCAAACCATTTATCGTTATCCTACAATAACCTAGACAGTTCTTTGAGTCTTCATTAATACTCCTCTTATTAGTTCACGTGTGGTTTCCTCATACATGGGACCACTCATATAGAAAGGTTGCTGGCATTACTTCTTTAAATTCCTGGATTGTGTAAAAGGCAGAAGAGAGTTTACTTCCATCCTGCACTATGTTCTGCACACTGCTGGTTTTCATACTTAAATTCACAGTTAAAAGTAGGGTTGATTGTCTCCTTTGCCTCTGTGGGGGAAGGGATACGTTTTGTTGCTGAAGCACGATGCCTCCCACGCTTACTCTTGGGTTCCTGCCGCTTAAGCACACGCCCCATGTTCCTGGCTCTGCCTTGAGGTACAATCTATCTCCAAATTAGTAGGAAAAAAACCCTGGAGTTGAGTGAAGTACAATCAAGCCTCTTGGAAATTAGTTAAACACTTAGAAGGGTGTATTTAAAAGAAAACTTTCTGCAATCAACAAAGTACAGCTTTCATCATGTGTTCCTGGTCAGAGACTTCTTTTCGTCTTGATGGCCATTTAGCTTTTTCTGAGCAAGCTGTCTCATGTGAATTTCCCTCCTGTAAGTCGGTGCTTCAGCTGTGCTTTGATTTTGTTTACCCTGTCAAAGCTTGCTGGCTTTTGTACATAGCTGCCATTCAGCTAGTTCAGGTTTTTGCAAATGCATATATGCAATGTTACATGCAATGTACAAATACATTCTTCAAAGGAGATGTCAAAACAAGTTTCAGCTCGTTTTCAGCAGTATCTAATTATAGATACATAATTAATGAGTCTGACATTTATCTTTCTTAACACAAAAGACCATACTTACAAATAAAAGCATTTCCCACAGCACATGTAATAGCTAGAGCATTAGTTGAAGAGAAATGAGAATTTAGAGCATGTTATATTCTGAGGAAATAGAAGTATTCCTAGGCAAATAAAATATAGGCTGTTACTGTGGTTGCTTACAACTGAGAAGTGTCACACCTTGATATCATAGAATGAATTACTGGTATCCAGTTACTAAAAATGAATGGTAAATCTTGGGTAGAAAGGATAGAAATTTCATTAATGTAAAGGCATCTTTCCAGAAAGCATCTGGGTACTGTTCTACTGTCTGCAGCTGTTCTAGATTAGAGAGGAGGTATTTTCCCTTTCTTGTTTACTCAGTGAGTTTATGTTTTTCTGTGCTATTGTCTAGGCAAGGACACTTTCCCTGGTCAAAATGGTCTGAGCTTATGAGACAATGGATATAGCTTAATGCTTTTGCTTACAGGAGTGTAATTGTCCTTATTCCCTAGTACCACTCAAGTGAGTCATAGGAAAAGTGGTTGGTGAATATTATTTGTCTGACATTCCTTTTGCAGTGACAGTGTGAAAGTTCAAGGTTCTCTATTTCGTATTTGGTTAATTTGAATTAGTTTGTTAATTACTTTTCACATCCAAATAGAGTAATGAATAAGTGTATTAGCTTCTTGCATGTTGAAATAATAACATGTTTTGGTTAGATTTATAAACTTCAGTAATATAAATTTGTGACTCACATTTGCAAGTGATCTATAGTTTGGAGTAATGGACACTTAAATCCAGCTATATATAAAATGATACTGTGAGCAGGCTCTTGCAGATGGTTTCTCTGTCTAAGTGGAGAGAAGAACAAGTCAGCATCCAGAAGAAAATACCTGTTCTGCACAGCATAGTGTGTGTGATGACATTTATGTGAGGTACTACTTGCTGAAGTGGTGCAGAAACTTTTCCAGCCAGTATTTTGTCCTCTGTGTGTGTCTGTGTGTGTTTGCATGTAACAGGTATTCGGGCCTGAAGGTGTTTAAACAACATGCAGATTGGTCTGTTATATTGCAATAGTATGAAAAGTCCTGAGCATCCTTGAGGGCTCATTTGGGAACATGTTGGGAATGTGTCCTTTCCGTGAAGAGCTGGCCATCTGAGCAATTATAACAGGCAACTTCTAGAAAGGAAAAGGAAAAATGCAGAGTTGAAGCAACTTTCCTGATTCTAAGCATAGGTTGGTGCAGTAACCCACCTCTCTTGAACTGTTGTCTAAGGAGAAGGGTCTAGACTTTCTCCCTTCACTTGCATTCCCCTCTGTAGCTCGTGTTTTAATGTCCTGTTCCTTCAGCTGCTCCTACAAACTAAGCCCCCAGAAAAGTTGTGGCATGAAGGAATGTACATATGGCAGTCTGGAAGGGGCGCTGGAAAAGGAAACCAA